AATAGTCCGTAGATCTATGGAGCATTCTACGTATGTTTCGTGGATTCGACGGGACCTCAATTTCGGGGTACGTACACTCAGTCCGCATAATATGTAAGGATGGGCGAGAAGTTCCCTAAGAGGGGACCCTTGCATCCTTGCCTCCTCGGTCCATCCGTGGCCACTTTCGCCGGCAGCGCCCCGCTCGCAGAGCTTCGGAATGGCCTCCCGAGGCGCTCGTATCCTTATCGTGCATCCTTCTGATATGGCCCGGCTGCACATCGATTATGTAGTCCGGGGGCGGTAGAGAGGGGGGTGATGACCAGGGGGGGCTGGATATCGTGGCATGGGCCAGGACGTTTCCCCAGATTTCATGGCGCCTCCTCTCATTTCATTACGTCCCTGGCCCCCCCCCTGGGCCGCGCACGTGCCGCTGGCCATGCTTTGCACCCCCCCCTCTTGGACGTCATGGCTTGCAAGGCAGCCGGCGATGCTGACAGAGTGTGCCAACAATGGCAAGGGAACGCTAGTATTTGGCGTCACGCTGCACGCAATTTTCGCACGCAGATAGCGATGTGACTGCAGTCTGTACACTGCTGCCGACGCACCTTTGACTTGCATGGCGCTCCCTCTCTCTCTCTCTCTCCCTCTTGCACGCCCCCCTCCTCCTCCTCCTCCTCCTCCTCCTCCTCCTCCTCCTCCTCCTCCTCCTCCTCCTCCTCCTCCTCCCCCGTCCTCCCCCTCCTCCTCCTCCTCACCTCCTCCCCTTCCTCCTCCCCCTCCTCCCCCTCCTCCTCCTCCTCCCCCTCCTCCTCCTCCTCCTCCCCCTCCTCCTCCTCCTCCTCCTCCTCCTCTCCTCCTCCTCCTCCTCCTCCTCCTCCTCCTCCTCCTCCCCCTCCTCCTCCCTCCTCCTCCTCCTCCTCCTCCTCCTCGGCCGCCCCCGCGAGTGGCCGAGATCTCCCCTCCCCGCGAAGGCGGGCCTCGCCGGGGCCGTGGCCCTCCTGGACGAGGCGTGCAGCTCCGGGGACCTCGGCGCGCTGCCGCTCGCGGAGCGCTGGGGGGCGGCCTCCAATTCCTCCGCCTCCACCTCCCTCCTCCTCCTCCTCCTCCCCCTCCTCCTCCTCCTCCTCCTCTTCCTCCTCCTCTCCTCCTCCTCCTCTCCTCTCTCCTCCTCTTCCTCCTCCTCCTCCTCCTCCAATTCCTCCCCTCCTCCTCCTCCTCCTCCTCCTCCTCCTCCTCCTCCTCCTCCTCCTCCTCCTCCCCCTCCTCCTCCTCCTCCTCCTCTTCCTCCTCCTCCTCCTCCTCCTCCTCCTCCTCCTCCTCCTCCTCCTCCTCCTCCTCCTCCTACCTCCTCCTCCCCCCCTCCTCCTCCTCCTCCTCCTCCTCCTCCTCCTCCTCCTCCCCCTCCTCCTCCTCCTCCTCCTCCTCCTCCTCTCCTCCTCCTCCTCCTCCTCCTCCTCTTCCTCCTTCCGTAGCCATTTTGGCTCAAGATGCAGGCGGCCTCTCTGAAGCGGCCCCTCCGCAGGGCGACGCAGAGTGCACCAGCCGGCAGAGTGCACCAGGTCGGACACTGGGACTTCTACGAGCCTGTTTTTTTTACTCTGGCAAGTTTATTTGCATGGAGGGGGGGGGGCTGAGCCTGAAGCAAGCCCGGGGGGGGGGCGCGGAAATCACGCACGTCGAAAGGCACTTGCACGCTAGTATTCGCTTGAAGAGGGGCGAGGGGGGGGCTTGCCTGAATCCAAAAAAGCAGGCTCCAGGTCGGACACTGGAACTTCTACATTGCCAGTGGCGTGCTGTTCTTCAATCCCTGGGCTCTTTGAGGGTCAGGGACGGCGTCGGGGTGGTGTGGTGTATGGTTGATCCCCCGTGTTCCTGGGGAAGTGACGAAAACGTATACACCAGCATCCCGTATACACCAGGATCCGCGTTCCTGAACGAGTTTCAGTGCAGGGCCGGAAAACGAGTCGGTGTATATAGTTCGGTTCCCGACCAGAGAGGGAGGAGGGGTCGAAGAAAAACAAAAACACATAATCATGTGCTTTGGGCGCTCCGCGAGGATTTCTTGGATCCGCGCCGGGGCCCCCTCGGCGGCGCCTCCGGCGCCGCCCATGGCGCGCTCCGCGCGCCAGGGAGGGGAGTCCAGCGGCTCTGGCGCTCCGCTCGCCAAAAGTTTATGTTTATGTGGTTGTTTCTTGGTGGGAGGAGGCAGGTCATCCAAGAGTTCCAACGGTGGCCTAACAGATAGCTAACATTAAATTTCACCACAGAAATTAATCGCTTGGTGCCCTGGTGGTCACCAGCCGTCATCTTCGGAGCTGTCGTCAATCGGTATCCCCTTCCGCGACGTCCCCCTCGCCTCGCCCCAAGACGTATGCATGCGGCCAGGGGGGAGCTTGAAAGACGAGGTTGACGTCATGGAAGGGGATGCCTTACTAGGGGTCTTTTAGGCCGCGCCCGAGGAGCTCCAGCAGCGCCGCCTGGCCGCGGGACTGGCCGAGCCGCCCGGGAACGCGACGGCGGCGGAGTTGGCGGCGCTGCTGCGGAGCGTCGGCGGCGGCTTCTGTTTGCCGCCCCAGCTCTGGAGCTCGGCACCGTCCAACCCAGACCTCAGAGGAGGAAACGAGGAAACGGTACCCATGCCGCATGCCCATGCCTCTACCCTCCTCTCGTTTTCCCCTTTTTGGGCCGCCTGGGAGGCCCTCGTCGCCACCGCTGGATTCGCCTCGAAAGCGTGGTCAGAACGCAGCCCGGGAGAGGTCCGGGGTGTAGCTGCATCGGTACGTTTTGGTTTCCCAAAGACTCCCTCGAGCCATGAAACAATCACCGCGGGAGGTTTGTCGCTATTTTGGGATTTGGGGGGCCTTTCCTGGGCCTCGGGGCCGCCAGAAAACGACTCAGGATGAACACCGGTCCCGGGGAATGGGTCGAGCCCTCCGGAGCCAATGTCATGACAAAAGTGCGATTGCGGAAGTAGGTTGATGGAGAGGGTGCATGCTGCCAAATCATTTCAAGATGTCTATAAAACATGTTTCAAATGTGTTTTAAATCTGAAAACAAATATTTGGAGCATGTTTAGAATATGTTTTACACATGTTAGACACATGTCTCTTTCAATATTCGGATTGTCAGAGTGTCCATTGTCATGGCATCCACAAAACTATGACGTCGGGGGTCGTGGGGACCCAGCCGTGCTGGCGTCGTGGTACGAACATCCGGACGGGAGCAGCGGCGCCGTGCTCGGCCTTCAACATGGGGGGCCCCTGCCCGAGCCCCGGGGCCGTGGAGTTAGAACGACTCGGGAAAAAGGAGGGGTCCCAGGGGAAGGATCGCCCGGGACCCCGTGCCCAGAACCCCCTCGAGTACCGTCGGCCCAGATGAGTATGAAGTCGGGCCTGTCCATCTGCAGGGGGGAGATTCAAAAACGGTCAAAAAGTAGTCTGGGGACGAGGTTTGGACCATTGCTGGCCATCGGGAGATATGTTTTTTTTTGGGGGGGGGGTATTTTTCGCCCAAGATCCCCTTATAGGGGGACATACCCGACCTAAGATTAGTAGGTCGACCCTGCCAGATCAAGGGTACCCTCGTGTCCTGTGTCTTGCGACCCATGCTTCCTGCATTCCTGTGGCAATGTGGCCCTCGGAAGGGTCTTGTGTCATCTCGCGTGTCCTGTCTAATCGAGTCCGACTTTAATGAAGAAATCATGAGGGGAGGTTTTTCGCCACTTCTGGCTTCTGCAGGCCCTTACCGTCCCTCGCGACCGTCCAAAAACGACTCGGGATGACAAATTGGTCCTGGGGATGGGTCGGTCTCCAGGGTCGACGTTATGAAACAATCATGACGTCGGGAGTCAGGGTGCTGAGACTTCGCATGTTTGGAACCGATCCCTGTCCCCACTCGGCCATGGTATCCCAGCCTCACCAGCACACCCTCCTGGGTAGTGATAGGCCCCGCGAAGCCCGAAGAAGCCGGCGCGTATCCCCATCGGGGTGGGCAAGTCGGCCCCTCAGATCTGACGTTGCAACAAATTGCGACGTCGCACCAATTTGAGCACTGGGAGCCCTGGACCCCATCCATCTGCGCTCTGCGCCACTTCTGGAGCCAGATCGATCCGCGAGGGCCCCGAGGCAGCACACGTTTAAACATGTTTAGAACATGTTTCCCAATGTTAAACACATGTTTAATTCGGTGGTAGGACTGTGAGGGTGTCCATTGTCGTGGCATCCACGAAGTTATTGGTCCAACGATGCTCAGGTGCTGGGGTCCCCGAGTGTTGTACATCGGGGGAGACCGCGCGGTGGCGGCCGGCTGCGGCGCGACTCTGGAGATCAAGGGAGGAACACCACCCCGACCCACTTGGCCCTCGGCGTTTGCTAAACGGCCCTGGGCGTTTACTAAACCGCCCTGGGCGCTCACTAAACAGCACCACCGTCCGTCTCGATGCCTTCGTGTGGTGCGTTTACCAGACGGGTTCGCCTGTCAGAGTGCTTATTGTGAGGGTGGCTGTCAACTCATAAGGAGGCGCCTCCGTGGCCAACGAGAAAGTTGGAGCTGTCTAGGGGCCTGAGGTAGCTCAGCACCGGCCGTGGCTAGCTGGAAGGACGGGCAGGGGTGGCTTCCTGTCTAGTCGGCCTGCGCTGGGCCTTGCGTACCCAGACGAGCGATCTTTTGATTTTTCCGAACCGGGGTCCCCAGAAGTTCCGACCCTTTCCGCAGCATCCGTTTTCCATCCCGAGTCGTTTTCTGAAGGCCCCGGGGCCTGGCAAGGGCCCGAGAGGCCGACAACGGCGCAACAGCTCCCGTCCTGATTCTCCTTCGTCGCGAGCACGTCTGGGTTCCCAGACCCTCGACGTAATGATTTTGTCATAACGTCGGCTCTGGAGGTCTCGACCCATTCCCCGGGACCGCTGTTCATCCTGAGTCGTTTGTGACGGCCCCGAGGTCTGGCAAGGGCCAGGGCCCCCCCCAAGGGGCCTGGTATGGACAAGGCCCCTCCACTAATCAACGCCAGGTTCTTGCCTCTTTCGGCCTCCGTCCGGCCGCGGCGACACAGACGCCAGCACCGACGCCCGGGGCCGATGCCCGAGGACGACTACGACGCCCGAAGCCGACGCCGACGCCGCCGCCGCCGCCGCCGCCGCCGCCGACGACGACGACGACGACGACGACGACGATCACGATGACGACAACGATGACGACAACGACGACAACGACGACGACAACGGGCGTTGCGCAACGCTAGGGGAACACGCAATGACATAAACATGAAAACTCGGAGGTCCGCACGGACTTCTCGGATCGGCGGTGAGGACCCCCCTCCTTGCCGCCATGGGGCTCCAGCGCCGATCCGAGGAACCCGCGCGGACCTCAGAGCTTTTATGTTTATGTCACGCCTGGTTTGCAGACCGCTGGATCCCCGCCGTGCGCCCTTCCTGGAGAGGCGGAGGCTCGCGGCAGACACGGCCGCGCCTCGGCCGTTTCCTGTGCCGTCGGGTGGCGAGACTTGCCCAACCCAAATCGGACAGTGCCGGAGGCTACGTGGACTCCCATTGTCGGGAGCCCAGAGAAGGCGTCCATGCAAACGGGGGTCGGTCAGGGCGCCGGAGCTTGCAGGATCCTGCGGAGCCGGGTGCGCACTGACCCGGGCTCGGGCGCAGGAGCCCGCAGGATCCTGCGGGATCTTGCAGGATCCTGCAGGGCCTGGCTGCCCCGCGTCTGGATCGGCCCGGGTCAGAAGGTCCCCGGCGTCGGTCGGAAGGTCGGAAAGGGGTGTGGCATAAAGGGGTGTGGTGCCAATGCTGAAGCTGGCGATGCTACCTATCGTGGATGACACCTCCATTTCCGCGATTGGCACCGCACCCCTTTATGCCACACCCCTTTCATACCTCCAGAGTCGAGGGAGAAAAAGAAACGCCCCTACGTGGACGCAGCGCCCAGGAGGAGCGACAGGGGGAAGGCAGCGCGGGCTGCAGCGTGGGTTGGGGCCGTTGGGTCCCGACCAGTAGGGCACCTTTCTGCCCAGCTGCCCAACTCCCCATATATCGCCCCACCATTCATTCGCGCCCCACCCCACCCTTTTTCGACATGATCTACGTAGGCTTCTTTGGTTTGCGTAACTAAGGATTCTGTGGAATTCGATGCAGTCTGCCGCACCTTCTGCGCAGCTCGGAAAGTATGGAAGGTGGAGAGGGAGGGACCATAAGAAAAACCACACACTGTCCATGGATTGAGTAGGTGATCGGCTACAGAATGGATTCACTCCGAAATTGATTTTCTCGCCGAGGCCATGGAAAAAAATCTTAGAATGCGACGCAGATCTACGAGCATTCCACGCTTTTGTCATGGACGCGACGAGAAGATCAACTTCGGGGTAACTCGGTTCCCAGACCCCCGACGTACGGATTTGTTGAGAACGTCGACCCCAAGAAGTGTAGACACATTTGCCGGGACCGGTTTTTCCCGAGGCTCTGTGACGGCCCCCAAAGGCTGACAACAGCCAACAGCGAAAATCTTCCCGTCATGCATGATTGTTTCTGGGGAAACCAAAAGGTACCCATACCGCTACTCCCCAGACCTCTCCAAGGGTGCGTTCGGACCAGGATGTCGATGCGAATCCAGCGGTGGCGACGAGGGCTTCCCAGGAGGCCCAACAAGGAGGGAAAAACGAGGGGAGGATATAGATTATAGATGCATGGGGGCCGATTCACTGCGCGAGGAGGTCGTGATTTTTTTTCGCAGCGCGAAGAGGTATGGGGTCGATCCCCAGCTCGAGTGGCAGGGGTGGACCCAAACGGTGTTTTGGCGATTCCGTGGGCCGCTGTCGTTCCGATGTCATTCTGCGGTAGAAAAAAAGGCGGATCCAAGACAAACTCGAGGGAAGACGAGAGCAAAACGAGAACGAAAAGCACCGTTGAGGTCCAGCCCTGGAGCCTGTTTTTTTTTTTATTCTGGCAAGTTCACTTGCATGGCGTTCGCCCCACCCCCCCCCCCCCCTCGCCCCTCTTCAAGCGAATACTAGCGTGCAATGCCTTTCGACTTGCGTGATTTCCGCGCCCCCCCCCCCAGGCTTGCTTCAGGCTCAGCCCCCCCCCCCCCCCCCCCGTCCATGCAAGTAAACTTGCCAGAGTCTAAAAAAACACAGGCTCCTGCTCGAGGGGACGCCGCGCCCAGGAGCTGCCCCCGGGGGCCTGGGCCCTCTCGGGCGCGGCGGAGCACGGCGTGCTCCGCGCGGGCCTCGCGGCCCTCCGCGCCGCGGGCCGGCCTGCCCCGGCGCCCGGCGCCAAGCCGCGGCTGCTGGCGTAGCGCGGAGGAGGGAAGGTCGGCGTGAGCACCCACTCGGCGGCGAGCGAGGAGGGGGGAAGCGAGAAGGAGAACGCCTTCTCAGAGAAGGCTCGGAGGTCTCCCCGCCTTCCGAGAAGTGTTCTGAGCCGTCCCCGAAGACGCAGACAGCTTCTCAGAAGGCGCGACGGCTTCGAAGAAGTTCCGCCGCCTTCTGAGCAGGCCTTCTCCTCCTGACTTCCCTCCTCGCTCGCCGCCGACTCACAGCGACAGTGGTAATCCGGGGTGGACATTCTGGGGATTCTTTTTACCTAACAGCGAAGACTGATAGGTTTCTAGTGGGGTCAAAAGAGAGCATCTTGACTCCCCAGGGGGGTCCGGGCAGGATCCGGGGAGAAACCGCGGAATTCGTTTTCAGCAAACAGTGACACACTTCGTGGTCTTCGAGTTCCCAGAACTCCATTCCTGGACATGATTTTGAATGCCCGGAGCCAACTGTAGGCCACTTCGTGTTCTTCGAGTTCCTAGAATTCCATTCCCGGGCCACATTTTGAATGCCCGGAGCCAACTGTAGGCCACTTCGTGGTCTTCGAGTTCCCAGAACTCCATTCCTGGGCATGATTTTGAATGCCCGGAGCCAACTGTAGGCCACTTCGTGGTCTTCGAGTTCCCAGAACTCCATTCCTGGGCATGATTTTGAATGCCCGGAGCCAACTGTAGGCCACTTCGTGTTCTTCGAGTTCCCAGAATTTCATTCCCGGGCCACATTTTGAATGCTGAGGCAGGCTGAGGCTGAGGCTGAGGCAGGCTGAGGCTGAGGCAGGCTGAGGCTGAGGCCGAGGCTGAAGGCAGACTGAGGCTGAGGCTGAAGCAGGCTGAGGCTGAGGCTGAGGCAGGCTGAGGCTGAGGCTGAGGCAGGCTGAGGCTGAGGCAGGCTGAGGCTGAGGCTGAGGCTGATGCAGGCTGAGGCTGAGGCTGAGGCAGGCTGAGGCTGAGGAGGCCGAGGCTGAGGCCGAGGCTGAAGGCAGACTGAGGCTGAGGCTGAAGCAGGCTGAGGCTGAGGCTGAGGCAGGCTGAGGCTGAGGCTGAGGCAGGCTGATGCTGAGGCAGGCTGAGGCTGAGGCTGAGGCTGATGCAGGCTGAGGCTGAGGCAGGCTGAGGCTGAGGCCGAGGCTGAAGGCAGACTGAGGCTGAGGCTGAGGCTGAGAGGCTGAGGCTGAGGCTGAGGCTGAGGGCTGAGGCTGAGGCTGAGGCAGGCTGAGGCTGAGGCTGAGGCAGGCTGAGGCTGAGGCAGGCTGAGGCTGAGGCTGAGGCAGGCTGAGGCTGAGGCTGAGCAGGCTGAGCTGAGGCAGGCTGAGGCTGAGGCTGAGGCTGAGGCTGAGGCTGAGGCAGGGTGAGGCAGGCTGAGGCAGGCTGAGGCTGAGGCAGGCTGAGGCTGAGGCTGAGGCAAGGCTGAGGCAGGCTGAGGCTGAGGCCGAGGCTGAAGGCAGACTGAGGCTGAGGCTGAAGCAGGCTGAGGCTGAGGCTGAGGCAGGCTGAGGCTGAGGCTGAGGCTGATGCTGAGGCAGGCTGAGGCTGAGGCTGAGGCTGATGCAGGCCACTGCGACTGTCATCGCGAATGCGACTACGACTGCGAGAACAGCAGAATTCTACAACTGGATTCTCATCTGAATCTTAAGGGGAATGCTTCCAGATATGCTCCTACACATCCCTGTTAGGTTGCTTTGCCGGGATAATTTATTCTCCAAAAATACAATATTTCGGAGTATGTTTGAGTATTTTCTGGCTGCTTTGATTTTTTCGCCCCAAAGACACGCCGGTAGGAGGACGTGCCCGACCCAAGGGCTGCGGTCCCGAGGCCCCGTGAGGCCGCCAAAGGGTCCAAGCACAGTGAAAAAACAGCCGTCCGCTGCGATCTCTTGCCACAGGGCTTTTCATCCCAGGTTCGGGGGTGGACAGCACCCCCACCCTGACACGTCGATTCGTGAATTGTCCGTGTTCGGTTCTCGAGAGGGCGCCGCGGCCGTCATATTCTCCAGGCTCGCGCCCGCCAGGTTTGGGCCCGAGGTCGTTTTTCCCAACCATCCTGTGGTGTTGGGTCCTCGTTTTGAAGAGACAGCGCCCCGCGTCTCCTCTCCTCTCCTCTCCTCTCCTCCTCCTCCTCTCCCCCCTCCTCCCTCCTCCCATCGCCGTCATCATACTCATCGTCATCATCATCATCATCATCATCATCATCATCATCATCATCATCATCATCGTCATCATCATCATCTTCATCATCATCATCATCATCCTCGTCATCATCACCACCAGCATCATCATCGTCATCATCATCGCCATCGCCATTAGTTCCCAACCATCCTGTCATCATCACCACCAGCATCATCATCGTCATCACCACCAGCATCATCATCGTCATCATCATCATCATCATCATCATCGCCATCGCCATTAGTTCCCATTTCCGCACACCCCTCACACGTTTCGTGGCCCCATAGGGAGCTCCACCGAAGGCCCCAGTGGCAGGGTTCGCATGCCGCCCCCACCCCACTTTGGCACACCCCTCACACGTTTCGTGGCCCCATAGGTAGCTCCACCGAAGGCCCCAGTGGCAGGGTTCGCATGCCGCCCCCACCCCACTTTGGCACACCCCTCACACGTTTCGTGGCCCCATAGGTAGCTCCACCGAAGGCCCCAGTGGCAGGGTTCGCATGCCGCCCCCACCTCACTTTGGCACACCCCTCACACGTTTCGTGGCCCCACAGGGAGCTCCACCGACGGCCCCAGTGGCAGGGTTCGCATGCCGCCCCCACCCCACTTTGGCACACCCCTCACGCATTTCGTGGCCCCATAGGTAGCTCCACCGAAGGCCCCAGTGGCAGGGTTCGCATGCCGCCCCCACCTCACTTTGGCACACCCCTCACGCGTTTCGTGGCCCCATAGGTAGCTCCACCGAAGGCCCCAGTGGCAGGGTTCGCATGCCGCCCCCGCCCCACTTTGGCACACCCCTCACACGTTTCGTGGCCTCATAGGGAGCTCCACCGAAGGCCCCAGTGGCAGGGTTCGCATGCCGCCCCCATCTCACTTTGGCACACCCCTCACACGTTTCGTGGCCCCATAGGGAGCTCCACCGACGGCCCCAGTGGCAGGGTTCGCATGCCGCCCCCACCCCACTTTGGCACACCCCTCACGCATTTCGTGGCCCCATAGGGTGCTCTACCGAAGGCCCCCGTGGCAGGGTTCGCATGCCGCCCCCACCCACTTTTGCACACCCCTCACACGTTTCGTGGCCCCATTGGGAGTTCCACCGACGGCCCCAGTGGCAGGGTTCGCATGCGTCCGCGCCACCCATGTCGACACACCCTTGACACGTTTCGTGGCCCCATACTGAGCTCCACCGAAGGCCCCAGTGGCAGAGTTGGCATGCCGCCCCTCGCCCATTTCGGCCCACCCCTCACACGTTTCGTGGCCCCATAGGGAGCTCCACCGAAGGGGCCCCAGTGGTTGCGTTCGCATGCGTCCCCACCACCCATTTCGGCACACCCCTCATACGTTTCGTGGCCCCATAGGGAGCTCCACCGAAGGCCCCAGTGGCTCCCCACCACCCATTTCGGCACACCCCTCACACGTTTCGTGGCCCCATAGGGAGCTCCACCGAAGGCCCCAGTGGCTGCGTTCGCATGCCTCCCCACCACCCATTTCGGCACACCCCTCACACGTTTCGTGGCCCCATAGGGAGCTCCACCGAAGGCCCCAGTGGCAGGTCCGCATGCCTCCCCACCACCCATTTCGGCACACCCCTCACACGTTTCGTGGCCCCATAGGGAGCTCCACCGAAGGCCCCAGTGGCGCGGTGCCTATGAAAAGAGGGGCCTAGTTTGCGTGCCCCCTCCTTCGTCTCATATCCGTGCGGTACTCGCAGCTGCATATGGTTGGGTCCTTCGCCAGGCTAATTCACTAAACCGCGTTTTGCTAAAGGGGTTTCTGTCCATCCCGAAGTTCGGCGTGAGCACTCATCGGGGGCGGCCAAGAGGGAGGTGCTGACTGGGGGGGGGGGGGAGATCATGGCGTCGGCCATGAGATATCTCCCCGGATTTCATGGCGCCTCTTCTTGTTTCATTACGTCCATGGCCCCGCCCCTGGGCTGCGCACATGCCGCCGGCCATGATTTGCGTCCCCCCCTCTTGGACGCCCCCCTCTTGGCCGCCCCCGAACTCACAGCGACAACGCTAAACGGCGCCTCTGGCGCCTCACCTGGCGCGCTCCGCGCGCCAGGGGGAGGGTCCAGCGCAGATCCAAGAAATCCGCGCGGAGCGCCGAAAGTTTCTGATAACGATAACGATCACAACGATAACGATCAATAACGATAACCATAACGATTGTTATCGTTAACGTTATCTGTCTCGTCATCGTTATCGTTGACTATTATCGTTGATCGTTATCGTTACCGTTGTCCCCTTCATGGCGTGGGGCCTTTCAATCGGGCCTCTGGGGTCCCTTACTGGGCCTCGGGGCCGCCAAAAAACGATTCAGGGTGAAAAACCGGTCCCGGGGAATGGATCGATACCTCCATTGTCGACGTTCTCTCTCATTCTTCTGGACCTTCCGCCCTAACCTTCCGCCCCTTTTTCCGATGTGATAGATGTGGGTTTCTTGGAATTGCGTACGGTGTCCAAGTGTGTCTATGATTGGATTCGCACCTTCCGCGGAGGTCGGAAGGTATGGAAGATGGAGAAGGAGGAAACCTTGAGATTTATCAAAGAAGGGAAACGACCAGACCCCCATACTTTGATTTTGTTGAACGGCCCTTGGCGCTTACGAAACAGCCGTGTCCTGTTCGATTGTTTCTTCGGGTGCGTCTGCTGAACGCGTTTGCTTGTCGGGGTGCTTATTATGAGGGTGCTGTTTCTGCTCCCGCATTCAGGGGAGGACAGAGTACCCATACCGCTACCCCTCCGTGGATTTCACTTTTGTGGGCCTCTTGGGAGCCCCCCGTCGTCACCGCTGGATTCGCCTTCCACATATGGTCAGAACGCACCTCGGGAGTGGTCTGGGGAGTAGCGGCATCGGCACTTTCCGGTTTTCCCCACGGTCTTTCGGCCAACGAAGACGGCCATAGGGAGGGGTGCCAACGTACGTCCACAATTCAGACCCTCAAGACCCTAAGGCGCCAATTGCCACCAGTCACTGCTTTCCACAAGCGTCCGAATTGCTCTACTGCTTCCCCAGAGAGCTCCTGGCGCTGCAGCTCATTCGCAGCGGGCGTTTTCGCCCCGCCTCGGGCACCGGGACCCTCGCGCATCGACCCCGCATGAAAGTGGATGCAGGAAGGCGGGGCCCAGGGCGAGGTCGGGCATGCCGCCTGCAAGGGGCTCCTGGATGAAACAGAAAACAATAGCCAAACCATTTTCCAACATGGTCAACAATATTCGAAAAATCTTCATATTTGTCTGACCAGCTGTTTGTGAATCTTCCTCCCGTAGAGGGACATGCCCGATTTGAGTTTAGGGCTACGGTTGGGCTGTCTCGCTCTGTTTAATTTTCTCGCGACGTCGGATCTCAGGGATAATGGGCGTCGAGATTCGAACCCAACCCTCGCCGAGATCCACGGCTCGGGCAACTCGATGGGCGGCGGGGGTAGGCGTCGGCATTCGCCGAGCACGTGGCGAAATCCCAAGCCTACCCTCGCAGGCGATGTGTCTATCCCAAACCCCAGACTCTTGGACGAAAAATGACGGGGCTAAGAGAAGGAGGGAAACCCTGGGATACACCCTCAAGGGGCCATTCGGACGCACCCCTAGCGAGGATGGATGCCCCCGCCTCTTTTATCCCAGGGTTGGGCCCAAAATTGTTGGTCCATTCGAGAACCCTCGAAGCCTGGGATAGGAGTCAACATATCCCTTGTTATACCCCCGCCTCCCATCGATTCAGGAGAACGGATGGCGCAGGAGGTTCAGGGGCGATCGACGTCGGAGTTCCGCACGGATTTCCTGGGCTGGCGTTGGTTCCCTGGATCGGCGCCGGTCCCCTGGGACGGCGCCGGAGGCGCCGACAGGGTGGTCCAGCGCCGATCCCTTCCATGCCTTCCGACCTCCGCGAAAGGTGCGGCAGAGTATCTCGAAACTCACGGAAACGATCTCCGATATGCAGGGAAAAGGCCACACAATATCATATCTAAAAAGGGGCGGAGGGTTCGTGTGGAGGGTCCGAAATGAGTGTGAGGGGAGTTCCCAAGGTTTGCGTGCATGCCGTTTTTCCTCCTTCTGGCATCTGTCGCACGAGTGCTCGCCAGAGGCGGAGTACCTGTTCGACATCTGGTGGGCTTGTTCTCCGCCGCCACCACCACAAGTAGGAGGGGGAGGGGGGCCTCCTCCTCCTCCTCCTCCTCCTCCTCCTCCTCCTCCTCCTCCTACTCCTCCACCTCGTCCCCCCCTCCAACTTGTGGTGGTGGTCGAAGACGGGCCCATCAGCATCATCTACGACGCGCTCAGCCCCCTGGGGCCGGTAGAGGCTCTCGGCGACTGCTACGGGTCGCGCCCCCGCAGCCGGCCGGCAAGGTGCCGGGGGCGGCCGTGCGTGCCGCGCGGAGGCCACGGCCTGGAAGGTCGGAAGGGCCCAAGACGAGGAGGAGAAGGAGGAGGAGGAGGAGGAGGAGGAGGAGGGAGGAGGAAGAGGAGGAGGAGGAGGAGGAGGAGGAGGAGGAGGAGGAGGAGGAGGAGGAGAGAGGGGGAGGGGGAGGGGGAGGAGGAGGAGGGGGGAGGAGGAAGAGGAGGAAGAGGAGGAGGAGGAGGAAGAGGAGTGAGGAGGAGGGAGGAGGAGGAGGAGGGGTCGGACGGGGCCTGGACGAGGATAAGGCCGTCCCAGAGCGTTCTGGAGCGCTCTCAGAGCGTTTGTAGAACGCGCTCTGAGAAGGCCGCGGCGCCCGAGAGATCCTCCAGAGCCGCCCGATCTCAAAGATTATCGATGCATCCTCGTCCGGATTTTGTTTCCTCGTCCTGGCTTCGTCTTGGAAGGCGACCTGAGGCCCTACCGCTTTGCGCTGGTGGTCGAGGCGTCGGCCAACAGCAGCTACAGGTGCCCTCGCCTATTGGGGCCCGCCGCCCTCTCCGCGCTGGCCGCGGGCGCCATACCCGTCTTCCGCGGGCCGGTGGAGGCGCACGCGGTGCTGAACCGGAACGCGATGGTCCATTCGCTGCCGTCTTCCTCGGTGGTGAGCTTGGTGTATGTCTTTGGAGCCTGGGAGTGCCGTCTTCCTCGGTGGGTGCTGTCGTCCTCGATGGTGCAGCCCTCCTTGGTGGTGCGGTCTTGCTCGAGGAGTCGGTTGCCAATCATGGGAGATTTTTGTGTCTACGTCCACGGGTTTATGTCTTCTTAGTGTGCGTTCGCACGCGCGAGTGTTTGTTCATCGATGCTGATGCGCGCCGATGTAGCTTCGATGAGTGTCGAATCAGCGTGGGCTCGCGTCGGTTTAGCGCCGATTCGCGTCGGTTCAGCGTCGACTAGCGTCGATGTAGCATCGGTTCTCGTCGATGAGCGTCGGCGAGCGTCGATTCGCAAGAGCCAGCAAGAGGGCATGGGAGGCTCCCATGAGTTGCCATCGAAGGAGGGCCCCCCTCACCTCTGTTAGTGGGCGAAGAAAACCTGTCCATATCCGCCGTTGGCTGCGACTCCTGCGGGTGCGGGGCGTCTTTCCGCGCATACCCAACGCGTAACGTATCCGTGCGACCGCGTATCTGCGGGATCGCGCCCTGGAACCGAGACCGAGAGGGCGACAAGGAGGTGTTCGCCGCTCGTGAGTCGTGGCTTTTGTCGGCCTCCAGGGGGCCGTCACCGGGCCCCGGGACTGTCAGCAGAACGGGTCCGTCAAAGAGCAGTTCGGGGTCCGATCCGCGTCCCGGGGGGGTCCACGCTGCGTGCAGAGTCAGGACGTCGGAGTTCTGGGGGGAGCCAGTCGCCACAAAACGGCGGCCATCCCTGGCGCCTCTCGTCCTTCGTGGGCCTCCAGGATCTTCCTCCTCGCGTCGCAGCGGCTGTGTCCGCCTCGAGCAGCAGGTGAGGATGGACCCCAGGAGGGGCACCCGTCGGTTTAAGTCGGGCCTGTCCCTCTACAGGGGGAATATTTAAAAATTTCCCAAAAATAGTCTGGGGACTATTTTTTCCGTATTTTGTTGCATCTTTCGAGTATTTTTGAGTGTTTCCTATTTTTCGTCCAAGATCCCCCTCTAGGGGGACAGGCCCGACCGTCGGTCCTTTCGGGACTCAAGAGACAGAACCCTGCAAACGGGGGTCAGCCAGAGCGCCGGACCTTGGAGGATCCTGCAGAGCCAGGGGCACCCGTCGGTCAGGATGATCCCCGGGAGGGGCACCCGTCGGTCCGTTCGGGTCGGGGGGTGGACAGACCTCCTACCCTGACGCGTCGATCAGTGCATTGGCCGTTTTCTCGGTTCGCGAGAGGGCGCCGCGGCCGTGATTTTTGCAGGTCCAAGGGTTTCGGTCCCAGGCCGTTTTCACTAGGAGGAGGCGGAGGAGGAGGAGGAGGAGGAGGAGGAGGAGGAGGAGGTGGTTTACTAAAGGGAGGTGTGTCCACCGCCGATCGGGGCTCAGGAGAGACGGGGTCTCCCTGCCAAGCGGGGGCTGCCGGCTCGCTTGGCTTCGAGTTCGAGCGGTTCCGATCTCGATGCGGCTCGGTTTCTCCATGGTGGCCTGGCTGGCTTGCCGAGCTCCACCGACTCGGCGTCTCTCGGCCCGGCTGCCGACGTCGGCCGATCCGATGCACGTCGGGGGCCTGGAGGCGGGGTTCCTGCAAGCGGGGGTCCGCCGGAGTGCCGGAGCTTGCACGTCCCCGCAGGGCCGGGGGGTGCGTTGACCTTGGTCAGGGTGCAGGACCCTGCAGGATCTTGCAGGTTCTTGCAGGATCCTGCAGGGCCCGATTGATCAGGGTGTGGATTGGTTCGGCCCAGGTCGGTAGATCCCCGATGTTCTAAGGCATGTTTTGCTTGGGATGCCTAAGTCCCAATCTGTATTGGGCGCCTTCCGACGTATGTCAAGAGCGGAGTGGTCTTCTCTCTTTGCTCGTCCTCAGGGGGCTTCTTCCGACTGACGGGTATGGGGACAGATTTTGAACGGGTTTGGACCAGGCGGACGAGCCGCCGGTGCAACCCCAGGCATTTGCTGTCTTGATTTGTTCCGTACGGGGTTCTTGAAAGTTCCGACCTTTTCCCTAAGGCGGGCCTGTCGACACCACGAGTCTTGTTGTCGAGTTCCCGGTGCCCAGCGATGGCTCTTGGATGCCGAAAGTTGCCCAAAACATCCCGATGTTGTTGTCACGACGCGAGCATGTCTTGGGATTGGCCCTCCCCCCGAGGTGAGCACCCTGCACCGGCTGCTGCGGGTGGTCCACAACGCCTCCGCGGAGCTGAGGGGCAACGATAAGAGGGGACCGGTACAGGGGGGAGAACATCGACCTGAAATCGGCGATACAGTGGAGACCCATGCCAAGAAAAACCCTGCTTGCCTCCAGGGAGCCCTTGGCTTCTTGGATTTCGATGGTTCTGCTATGGAAAGCGTGACGTTCCCAAACCAAAATATTTGAACGTCCTGGAGTCTCAGGGTTGGATTTCTTGTGGAAGGTTTCTTGTGGACTGGCCTCCACAGTACATCGCCGATAGATCGGCGAGACGCCCCCGATCGCGAAACACCACACGCTGTTGGGCGGGGTTGGCTAACTTATCGAGCCCCTGTCGGCGATGAATGTGCGATTGGGGGGTCGATGCAGCCCCTCCTGAGCCGATCTCCCCCTACGGTCGGGAACTTTTGTTGTATTACCTGCGAACGGACAGCGTGTCGCTCCGCTCCGCGGGGCGGGAGGTTGGCAAAGGCGCGGAACATTGACGGACAGCGTGTGTCCATCCCCCTACAGGCAGACCGAGGTACATGATCGAGGTCGGTTCGGACGAGGGGGTCCAGGATCGTGGCCCCCTGATCTAGGCCTCCTAGATGGGGTCGGAGGATCGCGCCGCAGCATCGCCGATGCATCGACGATGCGGCGCGATGCGGAGCCCGATTTTCTCCACGCCGACGTCGCCGATGCGTTGCCGACGTCGGCGATACGGCGCGATCCTTTGACCCCACCTACAGTCGTGGCTCTGAAGAAGGAACCCTTTTCGTTTGGGAGGGGCTCGGTGTTCTTTGATTGCTCTACAGTTTGCCTCAGGTTTCCCTTAGGTCAACGATGGGAAGCCGAAGCTTGATTTCTGGATACAAGGGGCCTCGTTCCTTATTCGGCGTTCCTTAGGTCAACGCCCTGACTGTAGCCGTTTCGGCGCGAGCTGGTTTCTTGAGCTGGTCTCAGCTCGCGTTTGTGCTCATTTACTTCGAAGCGGCGGAGTGGGCACGAGCCAATCTTTCATGACGACGGCCCCACCCGCGGCAGCCCGTGGGCCATGGCGCCGGCACTTTCGGACCCTGGCATCATCCCAGGCGCGAGCAAGACACCCCTCTGGGCTTGCTCCTGCGGGCAGGATGGCAACTGGGCGTCCAGGACGCGCTGCCGCCAGTGCGGCAAGGCGGCTCCCACCCACGTGGTGCAAGCAGCCAAGCTCTCGGCAGCAGCAGCCAACGGGCCAGCTCCCAGCACGTCTCGCCCGCGCGGGGCCTGGGCGCAGGGCCCGCCAGGCCAAGGTCAGCTTCTGGCGCAGCTGCAGCAGCTACAGAAGCAGGTGGCGGAGCTCAAGGGCGAGGCCCCGCCCCCGTCGGAGCCCTGGAAGGGACGCAAGCCCCCGACCAGGAAGGCGCCCGAGGCGGGGGCAGGCATCTCCTTCAAGGAAGTTCGCACCTTCTTGGAGAAGGAAGGGCTGGACACCAGCGCGGTCGAGGAGGCAGAGAGGGCGGCGGAGTCGAAACTGCTCGAGGGCAAGCAGCCAACTGCCCAGACGCAGCGCTGGCGGGTCAAGGCCATGCGAGACAAGATCAAGAAGCTCGAGTCCCGAGAGGCAGCAATTGTGGAGCAGCAGGCCGCTTTGGACAAGGAGCTCCAGGAGCTCAGGGTCGCCCTCAGCGAGGAAAACCAGAAGCTCTCGGAGGGGGAGGCCAAGTTGGTCAAGTTGCAGGCCAGCGAGTTCCCCGACCCGATCCTGGCAGTGGCGGCAGGGCTGGATGAGGACGTCGTCGCCTGCCAGGAGGCCAAGGACGCCCTCGCGGTTCTGGCCCGCTTGCAGTCCGCGGCCAGCGACAGCAAGAAGGCAGCTGCCTCGGCCAGGGCCGCTGCTGCTCCTCCTGGTCCTGCTGCTGGGGAGCCTGACGCGGGCGGGGAGCACCAGCCTGTGCCAGAATCAGACGACATCGACATGGAGCTGCTCGGAGGTGAAGGCTGGGAAGAGAAGCGCGAGGAGTTCGCTGCAGCTTCGGCAGCCCTCCGTGAAGCGACCCCTGAGCAGCGGGAGGAGGCTAAGCGCAAGCTGCGTGATGCCCTGGACGCGCTCTGGGCGGCAGGTAAGCGGCCTCGTCACCTTTGACCCCTGGCCCATCGCGTGCCCAGAGGTGAAGCCCAGCCCCCAGCCCAGGACCGAGGAGGCAGGAGAGGGGAGGCCCGCGGCGGCCGCCAGGCTCCAGCTGGCCAAGCTCGTGAGGCCGCCGGTGCAACAGGGCGCCAGCTTCGTCAGCATCAACGGCTCCACTTGGGCTGAGTCCCAGACGGCCCTGGAGCAGCTGCTGGGCGAGAAGGCCAGGGACGACGTGTACCTCATCCAGGAGACCCGCTTCACCTCGGCGTCGGCTGCTGGTTCGGCCCGCGCCCGGTGCAAGAGGAACGGCATCAACGCGGCCTTTGGAGTGCGCCGCAGCACGGGGATGGCGGTCCAAGCCGTCTCTTCAGGAGTGGGAGTGCTAGTCGGGGAACACCGCGGAGTGGCCCCGATCGACCAAGACTGGGGCCTGCACGCCTCAAGGATACTGGCGAGGCGAGTCGCATTCGGGGACCTGGTCGTGGTGTGTGTCAGTCTGTACCTGCAGTGCTCGGTCAAGCTCAATGAGACCAACGTGGACCTCTTGAGTGAGCTGCAAGGACTCCTCCTGGGTTTGAGAGAGCCCTTCGTAGTGGGTGCTGACTGGAACCTTGAGCCCAGCCTCCTTAGCAGCTCGTGGTGGCCTCGCGCCGCGGGGGCGGTGATTGTGGCGCCCGACGAGCCGACCTGCGGGGTTGGCACATACGACTTCTTCGCAATCTCCGAGGTACTGGCGGGGCTAGGGCCGAAAGTGACGGTGCTAAGGCATGCGACCACGCACCCGCGCGCCCCCGTCAGGCTCACGTTCGAGAAGCTGAGCAGCCAGGCGGGGGTCTGGGTGCAGAAGGGCCCCAAGCCCTTTGAGCTGCCTGCGGCCAAGCAGGAAGGGATCCAGCCCGAGCCAGAGGAGGAGGACTCGCTGACGGACTGGAAGGCACCGCTCCTGGACGAGAGTGGGAGCCCAAACAAGGCGATCATGGAGTTCTTCGACCTGGCGGAGGAGCGGTTGATTCGCAGCTTCGGCATCAAGGACGGCGCCAAGTTCAAAGGCAGGGCGCAGGGGATCAAGAGGGCGCCCAAGCAGCTCATTCACCTCCTGCGCTTGGAGGAAGTGCGAAGGACCAGCCCGCTAACGCGCTGTTGGGTATCCTTGGGGCGCCTAGCCACGCAGCTGGCGGCAGCGGCGTCGGTGCCCCACCCTCCGCCTGGGCACCACAAGCACGTCAAGCGGCCACAGGCGGCCGCCCTCGGTCTGGTCCCCAAGTTCGAGGCTGTGGGCTGCCAGATGTTCAGCGGCGCCAAGATGGCGACGATGCTGGCGGAGATCCTGGGCAGGACGCAGCAGGGGGGCACCTTTCTCCAGGCCATCAGCGCCGCAGTGGAGGTCAAGCGCAGGGAGGATGCGAAGCTCGCCAGGCAGCGTTGGAAGGAGTCCATGGCCGAGGCCCTCAGTGGGAACGGCAAGGGCGCCCACGCGATCAGCAAGCAGGCCAACCTGGAGACCTGCTCCATCCTTGGCCCAGGCGAGGGCGTGGCCCTATCCCGTCCCGCTGGTCGGCCAGCAGGCCCTAGACAGGATCCTGCAAGAGTGGGAGGAGCTCTGGCACAAGGAGGGCCCCGACGGCGTTCGCCCCGAGGAGTGGAACGAGCCGTTGGGGCTAGGCGCCATCACGGGCGAGGAGGTGCCGGCAGCGGCCAGGACCTTCCCCAGGAAGACGGCGCTTGGATGGGGCGCCTTCCACCCCAGGCTCATCCTCAGCCTAGGCAGGGAATGCGCAGACAGGCTGGCGGACATCTTGACAGCCTGGGAACGGCACCCCCAGCAGTCGGAGCTTTTCACCACGATAATCGTCTTCCTGGGGAAGCCAGACGGGGGCCGCCGCCCAATCGGGCTCCTCTGCATGTGGATGCGCATCTGGGGCCGCGTCAGGCGCAAGTATTGCGCGGACTGGGAGAAGGGCCACAAGCTCCCCGAATTTGGGGGGGGCAGACTCGGACACTTGCTGTGACAGGGCGGCCTACATCCACAACCTCCTGCTAGGGCTGGCGCGGGAGAAGAACTTCGAGGCGGCATCGATGTACTTCGACGTCAGCAAGTTCTACCAGCAGATCAGGCACAGGCTGCTCCTCGAAGCGGCGCGGGGCTGCGATTTCAACACTGGGTTGATACAGGCGCTGTGTGTGCTGTATTCGGGCCCCCGCAGGGCCAGGGCCGACCTTGCCCTCAGCGAGCAGCTGGCCGTAGACGACACAGTCATCGCGGGGTGCTCCTGTGCTACGACCATGGCGAGGATCATGGTATACGACCTCCTGCTGCAGTCGAGGAAGCTGCTGCCCATTGGCAGGGTAGTCAACGTGATAGACGACATCTCGGGCCACGGCATAGGCACGCGAAGGCTGGTTGTAGATCAGATCGCCAGGTTCGCGAAGGGAGTCGCCACCATGCTCGGCGAGAAGAGGCCCCCCATCAACTGGGGAAAGACCAAGGCACTGGCCTCCTCGGTGAAGTTGAGGAGAGAGCTGCAGCAGCACGCCGACTGGGTCCTCGCCGACGAGGCCTTCGTCGCTGGGCACCGCGACCTTGGAGGATATGCGACGGCGGGAGGCCACCGCAGGGTCGGGACGCACGTGGCCAGGGAGCTGGCGGCTCTGCGGCAGGGCAACAACATCACCAGGATCTTTGGCTCGGGGATGAGGCAGGCCAAGATCCAGAGGGCAGGCCCCGCTGCCAAGGCTCTGTGGGGCTCGGCCATCAACGGGATCCCGCCAGGTCGCATGAGGGCGCTAAGAATCGCAGCGGCAAAAGCGGCCTGCAACTTGCCAACGGGCGCCGCGTTGGCCTTCTGCCTGCAGTGTGCGCCCCAGGGCTGGAGGCAGGATCCGCTGGTGATCGCGACGGGACTAGCGGTCCAGCC